TTAGCGCAAGTCGATAGCGTTATTACCTATTGTGACGCATTTAATAAAAAAAAAAAAAACAAGCGAATTAAATGTAATTTTTTTTTTTAGATTTTATTTGTTTTTTGTTATAGGCAAAGATTTTAAGCTTCTTTTTGTTCAAAAACAGTAATATCGATAACTTTTCTTCACTCCATATCAAAAAATCTTTCATCAAGTTTGAATGACGAAGCAATAAAATGTCGTTTTGTTCTTAATCGATTACTCATATCTAGTTTTCCCCTACATCACAAATCAAATGTTATTGCTATTATTATTCGGTTGTCTTAATTTCTTTCATTATGCAATTTAACAAGCTTTGATTTCATAATGAGTTAACTGACGCAGGTTAATGCGTGCACATGCAGTTCAGCATTTATTGCAGATGCTTATGTAAACATATCCTTAATATCCTACGTAATATGACCAAATTTTATTAATGGACTATGCAATTATTAGAACTAAGTTTATATAAATCATTAATTATTTTAATTCGTTAAGCCAAGTTCCAGTTTGGGTTCCAGCTAACATCAGTTTAATACAGTTTCTCATATTGATCAATAAAAATTGTTTAAAATCAGAAAGCAATTTTCGTGTAAAAAAGTAAGTTGGGCACAATGGGCTGCGTTACATATTTTTTAAGCGAAGAAATTCGTTCGCATAACTTGAATACATACATTAATTGCATAGTTAGTAAAATGGCACTCTCACAAGAAAAAATATGTTCTAAATAACTTTTGATTTTTCTAAAATTTACGTTTAACAAAGACGTCAGCGCATAATCAAGCATTAAACAATCTTAAGTAATTTGACAATTGCATTTTTAAATCACGATTAGAAGCCATTTCTCATATTTATACATGTTGAAGACGTTTAACAGTGGATTCTTGTCTCCCACTTGTGTTTAGCTTTCTTTTTTTTTTTGGACAAATAAAATACATATTTTCTGTGGTTTTGTGGGATTATAAAAACAGTAAGTGGCACATAATTAAAGAAATATTACAAACTTTTTGCTTATTTAACAAAATAAAGGCAACCAAATAAGGCCAACGCCTTCTTCGTAACACAAAATGTACTTTTTTTTTTCTCTAATAATTTTCCACATTCGAATTTCTTTTTCTCGTCTTTCTCTCCCAATACTCCACATGCAGGCCGGCCATCTTGCTTTTCCTTTTTTTTTCTATTATATTTTGACCATATTGTAGTAATTTTAATAACCCTCGCAAATTAGTCGCGACACATTTTTTCTTTTACTAATTTTTTTGATCGCTTTTTCTCTGATTATGAAACTAGTTTTTTCCGCGTTCAACCTTTTCTTTTCTTATATCATACTTTTTTCCACTATTCTCTAAGCTCCCATATTGACAAGCGTGCAAAGATAAGAAATCAAAACATTATTTCTCACTGTCAAATTTCTTTGTGCGCGAATTTAGCAAACTAAGTAATGCAGGGTTGCATTTTAGTCAACATAAATTATTAACTCAAAACCTTACATTACACATCACCTTAATTTTCGAGCGACTCCGGTACGATTTTTTCGGTCTCGGCTCAATATTTACCGGATTTATCGGTTGTTTCCCGGTCGTGTCCGTAGATTCAAGTCTCATCTCTTGCAATAATCGCTAACAAAATGTAATGCCATTTCTTTTTTGAAAAAAATCACATTTTTAAAAAACGTAAAGACTAGTTTTTGTGTTGTGCAAAACCAAACGCAGCTGAAACACTAATGACGTTTACTACATGAAATTTAACAGATCTCAGTCAGAGTGTTGTAAATTTATACATAACTAAAACATTATAGGGCAATACCGATTGTTAGATATCCTGCACTTGTTTTGGTGATAGTATTATCACCAAAACCTACACATTATTTTTATGCAAAGCACACTTTTCATGTATGCCTGGAGGAATCCCTACATGCAATAAATTAAATTGAAAATTGCCCAGTCGAACGAAATTTTTCAGACCAATTTAGAATATCAAAACAGAACGAGTTTTGTCGAGAAATCTTGAAAACTGCCCATTCCTTTCACATAACGAGTTTTTAAAATAAGGACTTGTATGGCGAGTGGTCAAGAAAGTGGACCAGAGCAAATATATTTTTAATATTCATCATCCTTGGGTGAAAGCACGTCAGCATAGTTAATATATATTTATTGTAATCAATATACATATATATACAACATATATGCATATATATGTATACATCCGAATTTGTATATATATATAAATATATATATAACTATATGTATATAAATATATTATATATATATATATATATATATGTGTAGATCCGAATGAATATATACATACACATTATATATACATATATAATACACATACATAATATATATATATATATATGTATATATATTAAATGCACTTCTAAGCTAATAATATATTTCGTATGCTAAATAAACAATTAACAACCAAAAGAACGATCGAACAATTTATGAAGTATTTTATAATCTTAACAAAATTTGAACATTTATTTTCATAATCCAGCTTACAGCGAATATGCAACAAGAATCTTATCCTTTTGCGCCTTATAGCCTGTTAAATTGCTTGTTTTGCATTTTGTACTTGAATTTTTTGGTTTCTTTGAGCAAGTCTAAGACTACGTGTAATTCTCACATTGCTCTGTGCAGAATTCCCTGCTGCACTATTCGCTTTCTTATCCGAATCAATACGGGCTTCGATTCTTATTTTATTAGGGCGTTGAATTTCGTGAATGGTCTCAGGATAGCTTTCTATCGAATTGTTGCGAGATGCGTTTAATGATTTACGCAAGAACCGGTGGCTAGTATTGTTGTCGCTTCCGAA